GCTTATGTGGGTTCACACAGAACTCTCACGACCTCCGAGAGTCTATACACCATAGAAAGATCACTCACCCTTGCTGGTGGGAATTTTAACATTGGCAGGAAGTGATATCGTATTTCAATGTTGAAAGAAAGTGGCAATCAATTTTCATGTTGGTAAGAAGTGGCATTGAGTTGTGACATATGGAAGGAGCGATTTAGATTCTTGAAAGAGGCAAGTGGATTTAAATCAATATTAGTAAGAAGTGATACAGAATTTTCATGTTGGCAAGAAGTTCTACTGAGTTTTAAGGTTGGCAAGAATATCTATTGAATTTTGGGGGGTGCTGACACCCCCTGCAAAGCTGTTTGCACTGCGTGATGCATGTGTCTCGCCCAAAAGCCGCGTTTCGGAGTGACAACCACCGGGCGATAGATGGCATTGTGTTCGCATTGAGCACCACTATCATCATTATGGTTGTTACAGTGGTAGCGCCAGCGTTGACACCAAGCAAGCCTTGGTGGCGGGTGAGAGTTGAGCGAGTCTCTCCTGCGCGTGGCGGTTGCCGCAAACAGTTGTCTTTTGCGGTAGGTCTGCCGTGGACGGCACCGCGGGCCGCCTGCGGTAGGCCCACGTGGTGAGTGAAGCGTTGGCGCCGCCGCCTTTTGTGTGCTCTTGTGTTATGTTGTTTGAGTGTATGGTAATTTTGTGTAATGATGACTTTGCATGTTGATAACGATTGATGTATCGAGTCAGCGGACGATATCGTGGTTGTAAATTAGTTAAATAAATGTATGAATATTGTGTGGTTTGTACCGACCGAGTCTTCTGTGTCCGTTCACTCCAAAAGCGTGGCGGTGCTGGATTGCTCGTAAATTCGAGACCCCACTATTTTGACATAGGCAAGAAGTGCTAGCGAATATTGATATTAACAAAGAGATGTAAAATAACCTGTTTGATATCACATCACAGGGGACTTGACCATGCATATAAGGCCATTATTGTGATGTTGAATGTAGTACGCAAGCTGAAAAAAAATTGCCACTCTATAATTTAGTGTCTGCAGTCCTTCAGGCGAGGACAAATAAAGGTGACCATAATTTGAGTTTATAAAATTCAGTCATAGAAAACAATGCAATAAAAAAATCTGTAAAAACCTCTGCATATTGCACGTCACATATAAAGACGGATCAAGCCAAAGGTGCAGCCATGCTTCTTGTAAAAATTACAACTTCACAATATTGTTACTTGCATACATTTAATATTTAAATACATCGTAATATGCACATACCTTGTCACAAGAGGCAGAAAATACCCTGGATGAAATGCACATCATTTCACATTAAAAGAAAAATTTAAAAACCTAGACTACAAATGCTGTTATTATTTTAGTTTAGGCTCCAAGTTGAATAACAGCACTGAAAATTCAGAGCTTTTCATATTTTCAGGCTAAACGTTCACAATTTTACACCTGTGACAAGTTCGATTTCAGCGAACTCGAAACAGGAAGTGTAGAAATGACTGAGCTGCCTTTTCGTTCCTTTCAGACATCCCAATGAGTATAAGTAATGCATGTAAGTGATTTATTTGCATAGAAAATGTTAACATGGAGTTGAAAAAATAAATTCAATGTAAGTAGGATAAAGAAATGGTATATGAATTACCCTTCAAGTAATATATATGGCTTGATGCATACCATGTAGTGATATAACCGCATTCAGCAAGAACAGCAACTGGGCAATTAAGGTTCATTTTCTTAAAACAAGAATACAAAAACAAAAATTTTTCAATGAAAAAAGGCAGCTCCACTTTCCAACGTCAACACAAATGCAGTAAGAGAAGGTTCTCATGGCACAAAATGTTATAAAAAAAGGAAGGCCAGTAAAGAGAAACGAAAGCCTACAATGTGCTGTGATCATGAGTATACGATAAGTACTTAAAAACTATCATTAAAAAAATAGAACAGCTCATACCCAAATCACATATGCAGTAACAATATAAATAAGCTATGATTGGGTGCTGCTTTAGAAAAACACAACGGGCTTTTTTATTTGCCAGCCTGTAGGGGTAATTGTCGTATAGAAATGCATATACTCCCCATCGCCTACGAGCGTTGTGATAAAGGAAGTGAGGATTAATCAAACAGGATGATCTTGTTGCAGGAGTGGTATACGCCTAAAATGGTACGGCGTAAATTTTATAAAGATATGAAAAACATTACTAACAGTTACTTATGATGCTTAAAATAAGCACACTATGATGCTGCTAAGCGCACAAAAGAAGGAACAAGAAGACGACACGCAAAGCGCTCTGTGTGTCGTCTTGTTTCCGTCTTAGTGCGCTTAAGAGTTTCATAATGTTGTTGGAACAATTACCTCGATCCAGTTTCCGATTCTAAATAAGTACATTCACCCCCCTTTTATGCAAGTCACAACACAGACATAAGTCGAGATCATATGCATGCACAGGCTGTATAAGTGAAAATATTTTGAGTAAAATGTTCCAGGAATATCTATACCTACGTTATCTATGTGAGGATTTGCACAAGAGTGCACTTTGGCACCGATACTGACACCCTGTAGTTGCTACCAGTTTTGAAGTGTCACTGGTAGCCACACCAGTAACCATGCCAGGAAGCTCAACCGTGCCCCAGCGGTTCATCACGATCAAGCTCAATAGTCTTGATTGTGTTCAAGAGTGCCGATATGACTCGAGTATCGAACCATAAGAACAGCAGTCAGTTCGAGCATGTTGTGCTGTGACTAAAAAGGTCACATCTTCTGCTATGGAGGCCGTACCAGTACGAGAAGCTTTCGAGCTGCTGTTCTACCCGACACGTTTTGTCAGACTAGAGCCAGAATGGTATACATAGCATCGCGAAAACATCCTCTCAACGCATGGTGGACGAACGTGTTCCCCTTCACTTCTTTGCATCCAGGCAAACACTAACGTCTTTGCCTACATGTTAGCTGCCATAAGAACATCATGCCACAGATTCCTTACATTATAGATTTCTATGACAAAGTGCCATCCCTATTTTAGATGAGATGTTCATTGGCCTTGAGCGCGATCAGTGATTAGGATCAGCGAAGCCTTAATATTTCCGAAAATAAATTATCCTGCAGTCAATATTCTGACCTTTCCATGAGAATGATTACATCAACCTAGGACGTGTTCCTACTTAACGCAAAACATGCGAGAATGTCAGCAGCTCATATACGACACGGCTTCCCCTTTAGAAAATCCCATTTACATTCAAGGAGACTAAGGTTGGCACAGTACACACAATTCACTACGGAAGATCACATTTCATATTTATGAAATGACTCCCCTGGCGAAACATATCCGAATTCCAATATCATTATCTATATACTGTTGTCATCCGATTTCTCGGACGCCTGAAATTCCAGACATGTCTTGTTTCCCGGACTCATTTGTGGCACCGTAAAGTTCTCTATAGAGTCAACATATTAAAAAGTTCAAAATTCCAGACATTTATAGCTTTTGCCACCTGATTTTCCAGACTTTTTACCGCTAACTGCAGACTCAAAATCACTCAATTACCGCCATTTTGGTTGTTTTCATATCCTCAAATCCACCGCGCCCCGGCTGCTGTACCCTCGAAACTGCAAATGCCGCAATCCAGCACAAGCCGATTCATTTCCAGCTGTAACTTAGTCAAACCTGTGGCCACAGCCGCATGGTGTTCTGCCTGTGCTCAGACAGTAGGAAAAGCTATGCAGTTGACCTAATGGTCTGCCTTCGTCATGCTTGCAGAATCGTGGGAGGCAGTGAGGCGACAGACCCTTTAGAACTGTTTTTGCCACGCGAGCTTCACACTGGACACCGTGGAACACTGTGCAAACGAAAATAAGCTACTTTTTTTTGTGTTAGCAGTAGCCCCAGCTACATGAGATATTTTTTTCTTTTCTTTCTTCTTTTGTTTAAAAATATAAGCAGCTCTTTTTGAGCGACCTAAACGGCACATTTGCTGAATTGCAATAAGAATCCTGTACTCCTGCCGTGACCCTCTCCGTCAGCGAAAAATACCCATTAAAAAGTGCGTTCTCGCTTGCATTTACTTTTCAGACTGCCCAATTTCCCGGACGTTTTCGTGGACCCTTGAGGGTACGGGAAATCGGACATCGACTGTAACAATGCTACAATGTCACCAGCATCACTTCTTTTTGTGCTGCAACTCTACACGCCTGTATTTCTGAACGAAGAGCGAGCCCTTCATCTGCTGTTGTGCAAGACGAGCTACGACCTATATCAAATCCACTAACAATAGACACAGTCACAGCTATAGACTAATGAAGTGGTGATACTTCCTCCTCTTCAGCTGCTTGTAACCATAGGGCTAAATTCACAGCTTGACCGCTAACAAAACTGACAAGGACACTGAAAGGAACGACAACACTCGTGTTGTCACTCCTTTCATAGTATTTGTCTTTATTGTAGTGGTCAAGATGTTAAGCAGTAAACTCCAACTAGACTAGAACTGAATTCTGATTCTGAACCAAGCTTGCAGAGCCAACAGAACAGATGAGGTGAAAGGCACACCACTAAACCATCAAAAAAAAAAAAAAACACCTGCCGCACAAAGCTCGCGGGATGTCTGTGGATGTGGTTTAACAATGGACACCTTCTGCACATGCCAGGTGCGAGGAAGAAGGAGTGGGGTTGGTGACTTTGGGGAAGGGAAAAGTGGCGGTGTGCTTCTTGCTCCTCTTCAGCTGCACATAATCAGTGAGCCAAGCTTGCAGAACCAGCAAGACACACGAGATGAAAGAAAGGCACACCACTAAACCATCAACAAGAACAAGAGCAACACCAACCGCACAAATCTCGCAAGATGTCAATAATTTCATTTCGTACTGGTGCCTTCTGAACACGGCAGGCGCGAGGAAGAAGTTGGGTGGTGGTGAGACAGGGGGAGGAAAGGGTGATGGCAGCTGGAGTGTGGAGGGCAGCAGCGACCATGTGTGCGCATGTTTCCCGCCTCAGGAGAAGGCAGCGCCCACCTTGGGGATGGAGGCGGCAGAGCAGGAGTGAGCCAGGGCCTCTTCCTCGTCCCCTTCCTCGCTGACCTTGTCGGCAGCCATCTTGCGCGCCAGGGCTTCCTGGGTCTCACGCTCGATCTGCCGGATGTCATCCATTGTGAGACCCACCCACTCGTCCTGCCAGGCCCACGCCTGTCGGTGAGCACGCAGCATGGTCTTGCGCAGCGCTGCGACATGAAAGTGAACACATGGCTGCCACGTGACACGACCACTGTTGGCACGCATATAACATAATAATCGGGGTCTTGCATCCCAAAACCATGACATAAATACGAGGGATGCCATAGTAGAGGGCTCTGGAAATTCGAGCCTCCTAGGGTTTCTTAACGGGCACCTAAATCGAAAGACACGGGCCTCTAGCACTGCATCTCCATTGCAAATGGGTTTGATACCGCAACCTCCTGGTCATTACAGTCGAGCGCCATAACCACAAGACAACCATTGCAGGTCGATAATTGTTGACACTCCCACCAGATCATGTGCAACATCGTGCAACCATTGATGCTTGGGCTAGACCACGTCAGGTGCTAGATCACGTCAGACCATGTCAGCACCCATCCTTATGTTTTCTTTTTTTCGTCAAATGTTGCCGCTGTTAATTCAGTTTGAGACATGCACCGACTTACCTCCTTTACGCCAAATGTGTCTCAGCCCAATAGGTAACCCCCTTTTTACCATGCTCAGCGGTAATTCTGTTTCCTGCCTGTACTGTCTTAATGAAACTTATTGCAAATTTGCAGAACGCTATGGCTTTTTTTTACCGAACATAAATACAGTACAGTACCCATTCTATGCTGTGCTACAACATAATTCACAAGGCGTTTTTAAGCTGGCCATAAGATGAAAGGGTTTAAACATTATTGTAGCTTGAATTTCATAATGAAGTATTGGAGCGCAATCTAACGAGGCACAAAGGAGGAGACAAACAAGCTTGTCTGTCTCCTCCTTTTCATCCCGTTAGTTCGTGCTCCAAATATTTCATTAAAAATATATACCAACTAGCCCTCCTACCAACCCTTCCACAGCTGCAAAGAGATCTTCATATTGTATTTTCCTGCAACTGCATTCTTCTGCAACTCCCCTCTCTCTTTACTTTATTCTTTTTCTCTGTAGTGAAAAGCACAAGACCATCTTTGTGAAGTCATTGTTGAACCTACAAGGAGTACCATGAAATCCTAGTACACTAACTCCTAATAACTCAAGCTCAAGGAGGACTCAGAATTTTGTTTGAATTGTCAGACCGAGGACAACATACTGGCTAGCGTTGTCATGTTCATTGCTCCTCAGGGCCACAGAAACATTGCAGACAGCTCTGCCTGACTGGCAGTAAAATTTTCAGACATCAGCAATCATACTTGCATTGGTTATTATATAACAAATGGATGTGCATGTAATTAAAGGGCTAAATGTGTTGTTTTTTTGCAATACTGAAAACCCTTGCCAATCTAAGGTCACTTTCCCGCATAACACCATTGTATTGCGGCAAAAACGACATTAAAACATTTTAGATGCATTTTTGCCTTGTTTTCTTTTTTTTTTTTTTAGATGCGAAGCAGCTTATGGCAGAATTTAATCCGGTGTGCGGTGTGACAACCCTTACTGTGCATGCATGTCCCCTCTCCCTATCTCTTTTTTTCCAGGCTCCTCTCTCTCTCTCTCTCTTGAGTCACCGGCGAAGGTAACGTAATGCTTCCTCCGCAGAGCTGTGTCCACAACTCCACTGTGCATGTGCATTCTCCTCTCCTACACTCCCCTCGGTCCTACGCTCCCCAAAAAATGTGTTTCACATTTTTGTGAGATGGAACATATCTACTTTGGCTGCACGGGACCACATTCGATGTCTCTAGCGTGTTGGTTGAGGGACCGGCTGTTTAGCAGAGCTATAGTCATGGTCACCGGCAGCACTAACAGCAGCGATCACTGGCATCAAGCGATGGTCACTCGCAGCGTAAATCAGGTAGAAGTTCTGAATGATGGTGCACCTGCTTAAGGCGACGTAGACGAGTTTCGATGGGTGCTGTTCACCATCTCTTCGCTGCTTCACATCCACACATTGGTTCCTTTAGCGGGAGATGATGCAACTTTCTTTTTCGTTCTCAGTAAGTGTGCGATAGGCTGGTGCACGTGTTTTGGCTAAGTTTGGACTGCTTCATAAGCAGGTAATTCAACGTTATTTGTGACTGTTACACAAAAACGTGAATGTTCAGTTAGAAGCAACAAAGGCAGCTGATATTTCCAGGCATGAAACAGCAAAAAGTGTGAACCGAATTTGTGCATGGGCAGTTTGAAGTAAGCAGCTTTAAAATACATTGAAAATAGAGCGAGCTAACCAAAAATCTGAGATTTCTTTGAACTAACAGAAAGTTTGAATTATCGAAGTTAGAATCATCGAGACTCTGCTGTACTTCAGATTCTTGTGTTATACTAACTTTCTAGCAGGTCATCTGTAATAGAAACAGCGTAGTGAATACAGTGGGCACTGACCTACATCGTGGATGAACTTCTCAATCTTGCTTTGCATGCCCCAGTAGCGGAATTCCACCCGACAGAGCTTGTAGGCACACATGATGATCCCATCACCAGGAGGAGGCGCCGGCGTCCCCAACTGCCGGTGGTCAAGGTAAGCCTGAAGCCAGTCGTCATCCAAGGGACCACGTGATGTCTTGGCTGAGATATAGAGCTTTGGGTCCTCCTCACGGACATAGTCTGAACCAGTCAGCTGGTCCTTCACGACATCAATCACATCTGCACCATAAAGTTTGCTCCGTTTTGTTAGTCTGTAAAGGCCCACATAGTTACATGATCACTGTGTGGTGCTACCAGTCATAAATTGGTATATACGTATTTTTTCGGGCATAACCAGCACTCTTAACAACGATTCGCTCAAAATTTTCTAAAAATATTCGCCGCGTATTGCCGCAAAGCTAGCTTCCTTGCAAAGTTGAGAAGCACAGCCATGAAGCCACCTTTGCGGACCAGAATTTGCGATTTTATCATGACTTTAGTTCCGAGTGTAAAGGCTTATTTTTTTGTGCAGGTTATCTACAAGAAAACACTAATGAGAACTTAATTGATTTTACCGTCAATGTACTAGTGTACTGTTGCATATTATTATTTTGCTCAAGGCATAACCATGATCGACGAGTCGTTTGACCTGCCGCCTCATGCGAGCCACGTCAAAAGTACCATTTTTCTTTGCTCAAAAAGAATTGAAACGGAAACAAAATGGTATTAGGTTTTCAGTATGAGATTTTATTCTATTTATACACAAATAGAACATCAATGATAGCAGGATAAATCCTTAGAACATGGGGTGTTTCGACAATTTTTCACTGTTTCAAGATACTATCTGGCCCTGAACTTGTACTTTACAGTAAAAATAGGTATTTAGTAACAAATAATTTGAGGTTAATTACTATAGAACATATTGATAAAAACATTATGACACGATTTTTCTTGCAAATGGTTATCGACCGTCTCAGAGTAATGTTGTGCAGATTTGACTTATTTACAGACAGTTCTCCAAAGGTTGCACTTGAAAGAATAAAGAACACAAAACACCTGCAAGAAATTTCAGAAATGCCTGTCGGCCACTCACCAACTTGCAAGTTGCGCAGTTCTGAACCGGACAGCTCAAACACATTTTCCTGTTCACCGGCGTCGGCGAAGTACTTGGTCTCGATCTCAAGGTAGAAGCGCTCGATGAACGGGCACGTGTAACGTGTCTTGGTGTAAGGGTATGCATTCCAGGCTTCCTCTTCCACAGTCAGGGCCGACTTTGGCAGCAGGGCCTTGAACCAGCCTGCAAATGATGGCACGCAACTTGTTGACAATAAAGATGCGTGCGTGTTGAAAAATTTATATAAGGTTCAGCAACTATAAACATTTTATTTCAGTCCGCCTATGTGGCGTAGCGGTTATGGAGCTCGGCTGCTGACACGAAGCTCGCGGGTTTGATTCCGGCTGCTGCAGTCATTTTTATGGAGGCAAAATGACGAAGGCATGTGTACTATGCGATGTCAGTGCACGCTCAGGAACACCACATGGTCGAACTTTCCGGAGCCCTTCATTATGGCGTCCCTCATAATCATATAGTGGTTTTCGGGATGTGAAACCCCTGATATTAATACATTTCATTTGTTTCATTTAGTAACACCCTACAGGACACTGAGAGGCATAGTGTGAGTAAGTCAGATACTACAATTCAATATATCATAGTGTTCATATATTGCATGGATACCAGAACTCATACAGTGTCACAGAGTGAAGAAATTTCCATGTTACCAAATGATACAGATGTTAGAAAAAAAAATAACTGAAAAAAGATTAACTAAGTAAGTAAAAAAATAGCAAGAAGTTGACTGGCATGAAAATTTGCACAGAAAAAATTTACATTGCCCTCAAAAAAACAATACAATTATGTCATTACTTATTACATAACATTCACACAAGTGCATGACAGTGTAATGAAAAAGAAAACTAAAGTATACTGAAAAAAAAACTTGCATACAAGATTTGTCACACGTTAAAGGGGAAAAAAAACTAAGTGCAGTGTGGAAAAAATAAAAATTGTATGGCCACTGAGTGCAAGAAGAGTCATGGTTTCTCAGTCATGCACCTTCTTTAAGAGGTCATGCCAAGTGGAGACATATGACAGGTAAGTGTGGTTGTCAGTTCCTGATACACCATAATTGCCGAATTGCTAGTCAGCCAAATAATTACCTTGACCGAAAAATCAAAACATCTCAGTCATGACTTCTCAGCGAAGGTAGTTGATGTCTTTCAGGTTAGCAGCCAAAGACCATAACTACATGCACTCCTGTAGGGGCCCATTTATATTAATGTATCATTAGTATTATTGTATTTGTTCATTATACTTTTTTTCTATTGGTTTATCTTGTCACAAAACGTTGAATATACTTTTTCTTTACTAATGTCCACTGCAATGCCTTTTCTCGGAGCGTACAATAAATGAAATTAAATGAACATACTCAAGTGGTACTCTAAGATACGCTGCAATCGCTAAGCTGGATCACCAGGCCAAACCCTTATACTGAAACTAAAATTACCACAACATCAAGATTTTATTACGACAACTAACTGCACTGGGGACAAGACACCAGGAATAGAAGAAGACATGACAAATAATTCAAGTTCTCAAAATATATCTTATTAACTAGCCTCACAACAAATGTTTCTTGGGTTAACATCAAGATCACATACTTCCACAGAATATATTGAAGTTATCAGGTAATTACTTAAAGCAAAGAACACACACACAAACACACAAAAAAGAGAGGCGTGATGACTCACCAGGCAAGTGGCTTCCAATGTGATAAATCTTGTGGGTGTACTGGCCCGAACCTCCGGTCCATCAGTGTAGGGCTCGTTCACCATAATTTCCACTCCGCTGCCGACTCCTTTGCTTTCTTCACGGCTCTTTTTCTGCATGTCACAACGCACCAGGCATGCCATTAATTGCCAGCCACGCAGCTTATGTTGAGCATGATTGATTATATTACCCTAACATTTGATTGCACTTTATCTTCTTGGGTTGCTTCCGTTCTTAATTGCAGATGAAATCCCGCAGAGTCATATCCTTCAACAACTTTAAAGCATTTTTGCAAATATAATCTACATTTTGTAAAACCTGAAATTACTAAAGTCAGTTTCGATCAGTAACTGGCTAGTGACGTCACATTACTAGTAACCAGTTACATTATCAGAGAACTTCCAACCATACATTTTTTTCACTTGAGTAATTTGTACTGTCACACTATTATTCTCCACATGTGAAACCCCTCATATTAATACATTTTATTAATACATCAACGTCCCATTGTTAAAGGTACATGCACATGGTTGCCTCTAACAAATACAATCTGAAAAACAAAACAACAACAAAAAAAGCTCCAGGCCTACGCAGAATGTGCAGCACAGTCACAGCGAAAGCTGGAAAAGCAGCCTTTCTAAAGCCTTTAAATTTTAAACATTCTTTGGGTAACTGCTACAAGCACACTTGCAGGGTACCCACTACGTCATAAATCATGATATTTGTGCAGTAGGGAGGCATTCTTCTTTCCGGCCTTGACCTCTGCACATGGAACACACTCATAGGAGGGAACTGGTTGAGTACAAAGGCATTCACTATGCCTTTCTTCATCCTTCTTTGGAGAAGCGTACTTGCTAGCTACTACACACATGCAATATTTTGTGCAAAGTTTTGATGCAATGGTTGACGACAATAAAAAATTATGTCTGAGGCTTTTGTAATGGGTTGGAGCATTTGATGACTCCCTCGTTATGGCATTTGCATTGTGCGACACCTTTGTTCCTTTGCAATTCTAAAACACTCTATTACTCATATTAAGGTGATTCCTTTCCCGGCATGAAGCCGCGGGTTCGAATTTCATTGGCTCTTCTTTGTGTTTTTATTTATTTATTTTTTCATGCAATAGTGCTTATGGACAGCGGCAGCGCACAACTACGGTGCCAAAAAATGAACCTTGTTGTGATCTCATAACAGCTTTCACTGTAAAAAAAAAAAACACACACAATAAAACAGATGTGGATAAAGCTGATGCATACATTTATCATAAAAGGTATGAATATGGTGTGACTTGAGTGCCTAACATGTACTTGCTACTTGTACCGTGCCCACCTGCTTGGACCTGTGAAGGTCTGCAGTATGCATTAAAATAAAATAAAAATAATAATAATAATATCCCTGAGTCACGACTCTACATTAAAATATGTAACTTGTGTTTGCGACATAACCATTACTGTTAGATACAATATTAATGAGAACTAACACACACTCATGCCAAGGAATGTATAGGAGGTGTTATTAGAAGTAATTGTCATGTAAATGTGAAGAAAAAGAAGCGGACAAAAAGATAACTTGCTGGTGGCGAGTTATCTATTATTGTAACATATAAATAGCAATGCTACTCAATAAGCAGTATGTATAAGAAGTTACATTGCTGAACTTTTAAGAGTAACTGTAGCAGTGTTAGTTTTCTGCTCCAGGTAACGCGAAAACTTTTACCTTTTGCTGGTAACATGCCCATGAATGAGCCTTGCAGTTAGTAAACATCTCCAATATTTTCTGAAATTTGGCAGGGTCCACAGAAATGCATTTAAAATCAATCAAAATACTACAGAGGCTGCTTCTTCAGCATTTCGTGCAACCACTGTTGGCATTAGCACAGCAATCAAAGATTTGGTCATTTTTCGTCTCATACACTCAAACCTCGTTATAACAAAGTTGTATCTGCCGCAAAAGTACTTCTTTATATCCAAAAATTCGTTACAAATATATATTTGCTGCACTGCATCTATGACAGAGCTGTTCCTCATTTATTTTGTTATAACCGGTAATTCGTTATAGTATATGGGTTCATTCTATTGAGGTTTAAGTATACTTCCTTGAATGTCTACCTTTTTGTGTAATACAATTAGCAATCTTATTTGATTTTAATGCCTGACTGCTATACTACGCTTTGAGGCTGATACTTTATGGTGCCCAAAAGTGTACACGTGAGAAGATGTACCCGGCAAAGCTTATGGGTTAAGACTTCGCAAATGTCTATTATGCCACATTTCAATGTCTCGCATACACTACAGATTTAACAACTTAGACATCTATAGGATGTTGACCTGCAGCATACCTACATTTACAATTTCTGTTTGTAATCATTGTGTACAGTTAGATTTTACACCTGTAAAGTTCTCACAAGTGAATGAAACCGACGAGCTTAAACAATCTCATTAGTTACAGTTCTACTGCGATACTTTGGGTCTTTTAAGCTCCTAACCTGAACTATTTTCTATCATGACAGAAAACCACACAGAGGAAGCTTACAAAAATCCTGTGCATCGTATGCCATAAAAAGAACTAAATAAAGCTAGCTTGTATTGATGCCTACCTGCATGTCTGCTTTCTATCCATTATTTTCTGTCACAGTAAGTAATGATCATTTTTCAAAGTTTTTTTCTTTATTCTGGTTGTGTTTAAATATCTCACTACCTTGACTCCATGCAATAGTAGCTTCAATAGGTCGAGCATTCTACCGAATCACGTTGCTTCTTTTCTTTCTCTCCTTTTTTTTTTCTTCCTTTTTGCGATCTGTGGCATCGGCACTTTGGTAAGCTTTTCATTCATGCCACTTGTCTGCGCATCTCTCATAATCATATGGTGGTTTTGGGACGTTAAACCCCATAAATCAATCAATGCCACTTGTCTGACTTGCTGTACGTCGTATGAAGCATAATTCCAAAAGGACCACCTTTAAACTCAAGTTACATATACAAATGCACATGGCATGATGAAACAACTATACACAGACACTTCATTGGTCTGTTAAATCATTTGAAATAGCAACTCAAGCACTGATCATGGTAGAGAGTAAAATTTATTCTAATGCATGTGCACCACATGGCTTTCGTTACAACATTTTTTCAATCAGCAGCTCTCGCAATCAATGCTACAAAGTGCAATTTTATGAAGCAAGCAAGTCTTATGTTGCGAAGAGCAGGCATCTGGAGTGGAAAAAGAAAATTAAAGCGTGTTGCAAAATAAAGTTGGATCTGAAGAAAAAAATAAAAGATACATAAAACACAGGGAAACTTAAAAGCGATGTGGCTCTAGAGATTACATTTTCGTAAATATTAAGCTATCTTTTTATAACTGTTCTTTTATTCCTCCTATATTATTTTTTATTTATTATTATTTATTCGTTATACAGAAAGAGTTTTTTTATGGGTTGCTTACATATATATCTCATCTTGACCATTCTCCTTATGGCAGTTTCTTAGGTTAGAGTCAATTAAATAGCTAGCATATGACCACATTGTATTCCAGAGTGAAAACACCGAGCACTAAAAAAAGTAGGATTACCTCCAGCAATAAACATTACTACAAGATTTACAAAGGACAAATGACTGATAAGTGAGCCTTAATGTCCTGAATCCACAGAGCAGTTGGTTGCAAGAACCAGCTTACTTTCTTCTCTTCTAGTGTAGGCCTATTTTGAAATGCTGCACCACTTTCATGTTTTGCTGCTGTCAGTGGCCAATAAACAAACCCACGACGTTGTTAATTAGTAGCAGATTTCCCTCACCAATGAGGCCCCCTTATTTTATCTGAGTACTGTGCACAGGTAACAAACATGCATTATTGATACAATAAACAAAATTAGGGCCTGTAAATATGAATACAGTGCATTTAACCCTACAAGTTGTTTTCTTTTGTAGACTTTGTCAGGCAGGCCAGTGCATTTGCAAAGTACAGTGGCACTCGGACAATTTCAGTTCCTCAATGTAAAGTGTAAATTCTCATTCGCTACGGTATTGTTTTTTTTTTTTTTAAAGTAAGAAATCGTGAAATAGTACCTGTGTACTCTACACAGTTCGTAAGTATGTGCATGTCTTCCTTGTGCATATGAAAAGAAAAACAGACATTATTGCCTGCTTTATTTTCACATCGACTTGACAGGCAAGAACCGACAGCTTCGAGTGAATATGGCATCTGGTTACGGTCATAGATCTGACGCCAGAGATGACATCAGTAGATGAGATCAGTAGTATTTTTTTTTTTCCATTCAGAGCTATAAAGAAAGTTTATTAGAAAAAATCAGAGAGGTTGGCCTGAGCTTGCGTGCTACAGTCAGCTACTTTGTACAGCAAAAAAGCTCAGGTGTCAAAAGAAGCATGAAGTATGACGATGGGGACCAAAAGAAGTGATGTCCATATACTACTGCCAATGTCTGTGTGCTGCAACAGGCTTCGAAAGGATATAGTGCAAAGCGAGACGTGCTACCCATTCCAATCGCTTTTGTATTCCAACCTCTTATAAGCACTCATAGCTGCCTATCATGCTTAGAAGTATCTTTTATAAACTTTTTAGATTCATGAACGTGTCTGCAAACATGTTACTTGGATGATGTTTACAATTTTGCAATTGGGCATCGCCATGTGCTTTCATAAAAACTAGCCCCCCCCTTTTTTTTTGCACCTATATGTGTCTCAAATAAATAAAAACAAATATTGCAATAAAAAACGCTTCTGTGATGTGTGTTAGGATCAGTTAAGCATAGCTTCAAGGAGTACTCGCCCGTTCATTTAAAGTAGCAATCTCTAAAAGTCATTCTTTGCTACTGACGCAGCTAGAGCCGACGCGAAAAAGCTCAAATGTTAGCTCCTGTAAAGACGGCTGACATTTCTCAAGGAAGGCACATCTGCCCGCCAGAGCTGAAGGTTGGCCTCACTTTCTGGATCACACTCTCCGAAAATACGCCTGTTTAGATTCAACGTCCAACCAAAGCCTGCGCTCAATTTAACTCCCCTGCATAAACTTCCACGAGTTCTGACTCGTTTCATCACCGCCGAACACGCGAACAAGCACACACGAGCGAGAGCAGAGGACAAATAAACCTTTCCAGACAGAGCCTTTTGGTGGCTCCACGCATGGGTCCAAAGATTGCGCTGTTTACGTCGTCTCGATCGGTACACTCGACAAAGGAAAAGGGGCCTTGTCTCTTACAAGCCACTTTGCAACAAACAGAGGTTACTTTTTTTTAGCCAGTTCTGTAGATGTACGCGTCCTTGAGCATTTCATATACGGATGCCAGCGTCAACCAAAGAGATAGAGAACTCGTAGAGCGTGGCTTTAATACGCAGCCAAGGTCAAGGACTCGGAATTCAGTTTGCAGTGCGCCCGGACAACGAAACACGGAAGAGAATCTAGGTACAGAAAGAGCAGACAAGGGACGTGTTACATGGCTAATCTGCATGCTATGAGAGCGCACGAGGACGCGCTGTAAACGCAAACAAACGTACGACACTGTTGGAATGCCCCCTTCTTTTTAATCGCCAGCATGATACTCTTAATTGGCATCTAAATATACGACGTAGTAGAAACGCGTATGCCTCTGTTTCAAAAGGTTAATTTCGCGTTTAAGTGGAGGATGGGCTAAAGCAAGACGTCAAAAATGCTGCCGATGTCACTGTCACCGGGGAATACACACGTTCCGAGCCGAGAGGAAATGCCGCTACGTCACTCTCCGCTGTTTTGACAGCTCGAGCGGGAGGAACTTCACCGGAGCGCAGAGACGATCATACTACACACGCACGTACTATCCACCCATCTGCCGGTTACGACTGACTGCGTCAAAACCGAAAAGGCACACCGGCGCGTCCTTCGACATATCTGTCAGAGCATGGCGCAAGGAGAGCTTACATAAGTATACGCGCGAGATCACTCATGTGCGGCTGAGCGCAGAGATAGTCGACGAAGGCGCGATAACGAAACCCGGTAATGCACTTCAGTTTCGAACACGCAATCGCGGCGCACCTCGTTCTTATCGATGCGAACGCATCGCAGAGACGTAACGAGCTTTTACATCAGAGATAGCGGCTAGCGGTACGTAGCACCGCACCTATACCGCCGTAGCTAGGCGACCACAGAGGCGCCCGATATACCGCAGTCGGCGGTGTCTTCGGCGCAGGGCCCTCGATAACCTGTCGCATCGCGCGCACGAGAAGAAGCGAATTTCACTACTCACGGCGATCATGTAGAGCTGCGCTACCCGGTACTCCTCGACCGACAGGGGCAGCGGGATCCTGTACTCTTTGAGCAACATGTTCCGGCCGCCACGCTCGACCGCCGACGTCGGTGGTGTCGAGCGGCGCCCGAAGTCAAAGGGCGCCTCTCGCGCTCACGGGTCCAGTTCAGGCGGCCTCTGGAATCCGTGAACGATTGCCGGCTCGCGCTGCGGGCCGTCCATATCCGTCGCTGCTGGCCGGATGATCCCCCGAGACCAGCACTACGGAAGAAGCATCACTCCGCACAGCAGTTCGACAAGCCAGCGTACAACACGGACGCCTGGCTCGCTCGCGCTACCCCCGTCGTACAGCTTGTTTGGCTGCTCGCCGCCACTGCTGCTGCTACGATGGCTGCGACATCTGTTTACGAAAAACGCCGCATGATGGCGCCACTATCACAGTTGTGACGTCGTCGACGCGTAGACGGTGACGTCGGTCCGGATTCCAAGTTAAAAGGTGGCTCGTGCAAATGCGCGCTGGCACGTCAGTGTGTTTGTTTCGCGCCCCTGTACCCGTCCCAGTTTTGGTTTTTCCTACCTCTCATCAGCCGTGAGCGACACAAGGCCTGCTCACCTTTCATTTCTGTGCAGCTGTTTTTTTTTTCTCCTCGTGTACTTCTTTGGAAGAGGACCGAGAGCATCCTTCGCAAGAGAAAGAGAGAGAAAAAAACTATATGCGGCAGCTAAAGCTATCTTAGGTGAATGTGTTGTCCGTATCGAAGCACATACACCTGACATTTCCGAGGACTGGCAGAAAATTTAGCAGCACAAAGAAGAAGCGGCAGGGTTGGCGCGGACGTCACCGCGGCGTTTGACCTATACGACAGCATCACGTCCTCCTTTTGAAACATGTTATTGCGCATGTTTTCTTGGTTAATATAAGGAGCATCATCTATGTCTTGGCGAAGTACGATCAATCAAAAATAGAAAGGGCTCGAGGCAAGGACCGTAGACGAAAGAAAAGCGCCCTTTTGGAAGCCACTTCACCGCTCTTGAGATGAATGGATTGAGTTCTCTATCGCACGGTGTGTCGTGACAACGATAATGAAGTACAACGCTCCATGCTGCGGAATAATCTTTAAAAATCTCTTTAGTGGTCCGTTCGCCAGACCTTTGAGCGGCTTCTCTCACGTGAGAGATGTCATCCGAGGCCAAAGGAACCTTTGCGTTGATGAGAATTGGCGCACAAAGGGGGCACCTAATTGACCCCCACGTCCATGCAACACAGCTCTGCAAATAAGAGGGGGAAAAAAAACTAGACCACAACTCTGCTTACGCCCATGACTGCACTGGAAATGCATTACCGTGAAATAAAAAAAATATAGGTGAATACCACTGTACCTGTGCGTGAAATATGCATATTGTGCAGACTTTTTTTCATTGTTATTAATTGTCGTAGTTCCTTAATTTACTTAAAATACACTTGCTTAAGCGTGCATGGTGACATGCCACCTCGTATGGCATGTCTCTGTGAAGACGTACAAACTAAACTATTGCAGTTGTCCTTGAAGATATGCCCATAAACACATATATTCATTATTCCGTTTTGGAGTGCGTCATTCTGAGCTCACACATACCGTCGATATATAGTCTCAGAAGTTCAGTTACGATATTTTTTATATCGAGTCAAGGCGTCCCGTTCAGCTAAGACCACAAGGGGCATCTACCGATGTGCAATCGAACACGCAACACAGGAGCAACTACATGACGCAACGGTATATGTGAACGACAAATCTTGTTTGACCGGTGAAGCCATTCTCCGTCGCGGAAGATAGCAACGGGGATCGAGTACCGTCTTTCCGGCCATCCGAACGGGAACTGTTAGGCTTCAATCGACGGCGAGAGAAGATGCGAGGGCAAGCGCTGATCCATCATTAGCCGATCGTAGTTCGATAAGCCGGGAGCGAAACTAAAATGAAGAGTTCGAGATTGGGAAAGAGAATCAACCGAAGCCATCGGCGCATTCTTGAATGTGAAAGGGAAGCGTTCCTGAGTCAAAGGGGCTTTTTCGAGAATAGAAAAGTTGCATTGTCTCAAAGCACGTGTGTCGAACAGAAAAGCTACCTTTCCAAAGCGCATTTAAATGTTCGTCGCTCCGTACGGGCGCGCTCATACAGCCATCGAAGGAAGCGTACACTCACGTCATCGACGCGATCCACTTCACCTTTTTTTTTTTTAATGGGGACCTTTGACGCAAAAATTTGGTCTGTCTGTCTGTCTGTCTGTCTGTCTGTCTGTCTGTCTGTCTGTCTGTCTGTCTGTCTGTCTGTCTGTCTGTCTGTCCATTGGTCTGTCTGTCCATTGGTCCGTTTGTCCACCCTAAACGGCCCCAAAGGGACCAAATGTGTCTCCAAACGGCCGACACCATTCACAGCGCCCACCAATATTGCTCAAGGTTCAGCGTTCATACTTGTGCGATTGTCAATTGAAAGAGCAATTATTGCGCATATCTGAGGCACCATAATAACACGTCAATAATATGTATGTGTATTTTTTTTACTAGAAAACGCATACATAAGTATTTTTTTCGCGGCCTGTCTTCGCCATTGGCATCCACTGTCTGGAAGCAGGATTACGCGCCTTCGGGCGAGTGCTTGTGCGTCGTCAAACACGTCTCGCAAAGTCATCGTGTACTCAAGGCAACGGTCGTGCACTACTATTTGTAAATGCGTCATTCTTATACCGTCCCTTCTTACTTTCCTCAGAACAGTAGCAACACGCTATATCCGCCTACTTATTTTGATCCAGCTACGAGAATACCGATCTATGCATGGTTTCCATGCAATACAGTACACTGCTCTACTGTCAATCAACCGAAATTTCGACATTTCTTAGTAAACGTACACCTACTATTTGTGAAAGTGACGTCTAGTTTACACACGCAGTTCACCGAGAAAAACTCACGCTGATTACTTTCTGAAGTAATAAAAATATTACTAGTAATAATTGTTGAGATTTAACGTGGCAAAAGGTAAAAAAAAAACGGTCAGTACTTTTTTTTTTTTTTGAATGACCGACAACGCTTTTTTCAATCACGGTCGTAGCGAGAAAACAATGCAGCCCAATCTGCGAGACTGTCCTTGGATATAATATTCAGAGACAGCAACTGGCATCCGCTCTAGCACACCTCACCGGCCACGGTGGTCTAAGGTGTTCGACTGTTAACCCAAAGGTTGCTGGATCGGATCCCGGCCGTGGCGGTTGCATTTTCGACGAAGGGCAAGATGCTGGAAGCCTGTGTACTTTCGGTTTAGGTGCACGGTAAAGAACCCCAGGTGTCGAAATGTCCGGAGCCCTCCAACACAGCGCCACTCTATGAAATCAGTGGCTGACAAAGAGACGGAAGGGGGGGGGGGGTAGAAGGGATCATCGCCTCTCCCCCACTTACCTTACAGTGCTTGTTGTCCACCTACTATCATCAACTAGAACAAATGAGTGGCAAAATCGTGATCACACATTAATTGTATTGCTGTTATAATAGAGTTTTTTTCCCTACAAAAAACAAAAAAAAGCTAGGACCCAACCCCTTTTCAGAAGTTACTTGAAGCAGCACTTCTCTAAAATGGACGGCTGTGGTGGTTGTGACGTTTAACTCCAGTTATTATTATTATTATTATTATTATTATTATTATTATTATTATTATTATTTATTATTATTATTATTATTATTATTATTATTATTAGTATTATTATTATTATTATTATTATTATTATTATTATTATTATTATTGTCGCACTTTGACAATAGTTCAATGTCTATTGAAGCCTTTCTTACCAGTTGTCGACTAGTAGTGACAAAGACACTACTGAAGTGTCAAGAAAAAAAAAAGGACGACGGACTTAAGCAACCGACTGTGAGAGTGCATGACGTAGCGTGCTAAGCAAGAGTGACCAACTATGCACCGGATGTGCATAGTTCTGTCTTTCTCTCTCTTTACTTTCCATCTTTCATTATCCCCTATCCTAGCTCTTCCCATGTGTAGGGCAGCAAGCCGGTTGACACAAACTAGTTAACCTCCCCGCCTTTCTTGCTCTACTATTTCTTCTCCATTCTTCCGAACAAAAGTATTGGTGTATCGTATGCAGGTATTTTTTTTTATTTTAGAAAAACAGGTTTTTAATAAAATGATATGACTATCGCACCTCTATAGTCTTGGCAAAGGAACTCTACGCCTAAGCGGGAAAACTTTGCGTCACTTATGCTGAATTAATCAATTAACAATAATGGATTAGCTAACGTTTTAGTTATTAACCTAATTATAAGCACTACAGAATAAACGCAAAGGATATGTGGCCCAATGTGACAGGCCCTTAACCAGATTTTTTTTTTCGGTGGGAGAGGGGCGTACGAAAAGCTTTACTATTTAGAAAAAAGCACACAACATCTCTCGCTAAAGGGAACCATGTGTCTATAGATGTGAAGTTGTGAACGCTAACGCCTACACTGGCGGCGACGTTGGTGTTGGCGCTCATCGTGCCTTTGCGTAGGAGAGAAACCTGAAGAGGCGCAACGCATACAGTGATGGGCCGGTGTTTCCTAGGGAAACATGCAAATCGCTGCTAATCAGCAATGAGAGACAGAAAATTTGGTTTGGACACGGACACCCACAGTCCGCTTTTAGTTAACGCGCACGGATGCGAATTTTCGTTGTTAAGAAAAACGCACAGGAGAAATCTACCACCGGCACTACCTTGGAAGTCAAGATCCAGTGCCTATGTATACGGGGTGGCCAGTGGCCAGTTGTGCAGCGCGAGAAGTCCGTGCGTGCATCCGTCCGTGCGTCGTCTGCCTGTCTGTCCGCGCCTGCTGAGTGAGTCATCGAACTAGAGGTGCACGAACCACGACGAGCTAGGAAGGACAGAGCCACAGCTCTAGGAGCTTCGCTCCTTAAAAAGCTCGACAGATCCCACGTACCTCGGGAATTAACGTTATGCGAAGCAGGTGGAGGTAAGGTGACCATGTTTTAATCTTTTTACTGAGCGACACGTTATGAAATGACGCTAAATATTGTCACGTGCTTGCCCAAGAAAGACTATGACAGTTGTGCATGTGCCACGAAGGACTACGAAATGGACGAAGAAGAAGAACTCGCTTGCGCGTTCTAATTAAAAAGATCGACCTGCTTCTGGTGTCTCAGTCTTTACGGCAAGAACTCTGTTTTGACGTCGTGACACTGGTGGAGGTGCTGGAGCCTAGAACCGGATGCAGGACAGTCTTGCTCGGACCCGTTCACCTAGTCCAGAGACCCAGCCCCTCGTCACGACTCCGGTGCACCGATTCAGTCGGCGCCTACTAGGCCTAAGTCCGGAGTCCGTACCTGTTCCGCCTCTAACCAGCATGGCAGCTCCTACCACATCCACGGCTACCCTTTCATCGCAGACCACTCTTCGCTCCCAGGTGACTCTTGAACATCCTCGCGTTCCTGAAGTTTTCCATGGGGAAGAGTACGAGGATGTCGAGGACTGGCTCGAACAGTTCGAACGGGTCGCTGTATCTAACCACTGTAACGAACAGCACAAACTTGGCCGTGCATATTTCGCCCTGGAAGATAGCGCTCGCACGTGGTACGAGAACCACGAGGCTACTTTCCAATCTTGGGAAGATTT